TTGGAAAAATTTCTAGACAAGTATCTCTAAAAGCACAACATAATAAATTTTTCACCTGTTTGTCTGAAAGCTTGGGGTAATAGCATCTAATGTTTTTACTGGCAAATCAAAATCTATAATAGGCCAGAATAGCTCATCACCATCAATATATTCATGTAAGAAATAGCCTTCACAATCTGAAAGTATGGCTTCTATTTCATCCTCATTATCTGCGCCAAGGAAATGTCTTGGTCTAACACTATCATTACGAATTTTATATAAGCATTTACAAATATCTTCAGCTTTAAAACCTTGTTTGTACAGGGCAGGGCGTCGAGGAACTCTGATTGGGTCATTTTTTAGATAACTTTTGAAAGGTATACTATATCCTAAACTCGGGATATATTGTCCTGGGAAAAAAGTTTAAATAAAAAAATAATTATAGAAATTTAAGAGATACCCAATGAGAGCTAGATTTATCTGCTAATATCTTTCTAACGAAGGAAATGTATGCGGACGAGCTTGTAACCGACAAGAAGGATGCAAAATTCATTAGAAAAGACGTCAGCGAAACTCTTGCAAACAATGTGGGAAACCAACTACCTCGATCTATAGTATGTGTAATTTACATGTAAATAAGTATTATTTGAAAACATATTACCATAGAAAGAAGCTAAATGCCTTAGAAAAATCTGCCTTAGAAAATTTTTGACTTCCAGAGGCAGAAGTGAAATAGCAAATTAACTTTATTAGGACGCTAGAATGGTTTCTTGAATGGTCTGCCTTACGTGCCTTAGGAGGTCTAGTAAAAATCAGACTTCTTTACTTTTTATTTTTTAAAGGGTATAGCAAAAATATAGCATATATATAACATATATAGCATACCAATATATATACCAAAAATTCAATTTTTTTTTCCTAGAACTTTATTTTTACTAGACCTCCTAAGGAACCTAAGGAAGATAATACAAGAACAAGTTGAATCAAAAAAAGAACACTTTCTCCTATAATAAACTCTGCCTTAGGAAATGGTCTAGTAAAATTTAGTAAAATTTCTAGGGCAAAAAAATTGGCATATGGGGTGTGAGCTAGGAAAATGACCTTCTGAGATTAATTTACCATTTTGAGTAAATGATAAACAAAGCTTTT